TCTCGATGAGACTTCATCGTTCCGGCAGCAATCCAACGTCAATGTCCATGACAAATCCGACAAAACTTTTTCAAGCTATGTAAAACTATATAAAGTAGATGATAGTACGATCGAAGTATCCGAGGAGACTAAAGAGAAGGTTGAAGACATGACTGAGGAGAAGCTGTCAGGTAATCAAAGTTTCTCGAAAAATAAGAAAAATCAAACTGAGATCATGGATGTTTCATCTGTACGTATGACTAGATCACGTAGAAGTTCGGTGATAAAAGATATCTCGGCACGGCAAATAGAGTCGGAGAAAGTCACCCGTTTACGAAGATCAAGTTCAATGATGAAGGACCCTTTAAATTTTTCAACAGATCATTCGTCGCAGAAAACAGATTTCGAAATATCATCGCGTTTGAGGAGAGCAAATTCAGCAGCGAAGGAAATAAAGATGGATTCTCCCTCGGGAAAATTACGTGGCCGAAGAGCGAATTCTCTTGCGAAGGACATATTAATGAGCTCAGTGATAAGCTTAGATGAGAATTGTGAATCAGGAAACTCCAACGCACAACCATCAATGAGGAGAGGCCGCAGATGTACATCTGTAACGAAGGAATACTCTCAGCCCAATACAAAGGATAGCGACTCCGAGAGCGTCAAGGATGAACTACCAGTAAGGAGAAGCACAAGACTTGCTTCTTCCGCGAGAAAAGAATTACAAGACACTCCTTCTCTAGGAGAGAGGAGTTTCGCAAAGTCAGGAAGCGCGACATGGCTCGTAAAACTAGTGAGTGATGACGAAGAAGGCGAGAACGCGAACAAGAGATCTTTGCGACGCACGAGAAAGTCTTCGGTGTCGTCCGATACGGATGATGCAACGGCAAACAGATCATTGAGATTATCCATGAGGGACAAGGAATGTTCGAAGGAGCCAGACATTAAAACGACTCGAAAACGCGGCAGTTCAGTACCTAAAGAGATGAAAACGCAGCCTATAGGATCACTGCGACGTAGGTCCAGTAGTATTATTAAAGAAATCATTCCGGAAGTCGCTGAGCCTCCGGAAGAATCAAAGAAATCCAGGAATTCTGCCGCAAGAGATACAGAAGAGATTGTCGATAGACTAACGACAAATGCGCGCGTTCGAAGCGCGTCGGTACTCTCCGTGCCGGAGGAATTGGAAGAAATTTTGAGTCCGTCAATAAGAGAGACGAGATCTACCAGGAAGAAGGCTGTGCAAAATAACGCCAGAGAGAAGAGAGCGTCCAGTGCAGATGTGACACACACAGATATGAAAAGAAGAGTCAGAAATGTTGACACAAATATCACGGTAGTATCACCGATAGCGGAAGAGTTAGTGGAAGGAGATGAAAAGATAGATATTGAAACCGTGCAAGATACTCCAGCGCCTAAAAGAAAAACTGCATCAGTCACGATGATCAAAGAGACGAAAACGAATACCGTGAAGTCGAGACGAGGTAGACCGCGCAAGATCAGTGTAAGTCAAGAGTCCAGCAATCTGTATTCGTTCTCATTGCCGGAGAAAACGGATGATGTACCATTGGAGAAAGGTAATTTGAAAAATTAGGCCGCTTACCAAGTGAAGTGGTCTTATGTTGCAAGGAACGCTCTATGTAATAATAAACGGAATTTTTTATCAATATCTCTTTTGAAGGATTTGCTTTCAAAGATCTTTGTGTAAATTATTCTTTAAATTCCCTTTTCTTTCCGTAGAGATTGTATTTTTATCATTTTTTTTACACAATTCATTTATAGTCGACTTCTATCCAATTTGGAACGTGTGTATAATTCCATTCATTTGTTGAATAGCAGATTTTAAATAGCGGTTTGAAATCGTACTCTTCTATTTACAGACATTGGAGAGGTCCCGAATTATGTGTTCTCACCGCCTCAAACCAGATCTAATAAAAACATTTCTTCAAAGCAACATCGTAGGTTGTTATTCATTGATTCGATATAACTACCCTCATCGCTATGTGTTTTATCATTTTTAAAAACTTCATTTGTCTCTATTTCGTCTCTTCTTATCAGAGAAAAAAGTCTTTTAACTTATATTCTTTATTTTTCACAGAAAAATGAGCTCGTTCATACCGAGTCCTTATCAAGAAGGAGAACAACGATTCACTATCCGGCAATCTCACAACATCAAATCCGGTGCTCGTTTAGTTAAAAATTCTTTCGGATCGCGATTTCGAACAAGATTTGTTGTATCTAAAAGATCCAAAAATACAACAGATTAAAACTGGAATTTCCCAAGAGTTCTACGCACATTTTAGATTTGTAAGTCTCAATACTTGTAAATTCCTTTCACATATTTCTTTTATCATCGCAACATGTTTTTTTTTACGTATGCTTCTGTCAATTAAAACAGTCGATTACTCATTGCAAAGCATTAACTTTTAATACTTATAAGCACGGTGCGTGTGAAAAAGAAATATTAGGAAACGTTAACATACATAGAAATTGTTGACCAGTTTTAGCATCTATATTCTGGTAAAAATATAGTACAAAATAATCTCTCTGATATGATAAATAATTATGAATGCTAATAAACAAAGATCGAAAGATTTAACTTATATCCCAGCATATCCTAATTAGAAAATAAAAAAAACAATTGCTTTGTCTAATATTGAAGTTCTAGCGGAGACAACAAGTTCAATTGTTTGCAAAAATCGGAGAGAAACAAGATCAAAAACTTGAATAATCTTATCTTTTTATCTCAATTTGTTTCGAATGACGATTAGGTAAAGTATCTCGTTTTCTTTTTTTGATTGGAATATATTTTAAGTGGCGGGAGGTGATTGACTATTCCAACAATGATATTTGGAATATATGCTAATGTGATGTTGAAAAATACTTTTTTTTTCCAACAATACATAGAAATTCTAAGATTGTTTTTATCAAAGATTAATAAACCCGCATAAGTGAATCAAATTACATTATATATGTTTACAGTTGCATAAAAAAAGTTATGTTTCATTCAATCTAAGATATATCATGTTATTTTTGTATCGATGCACGCGCGAGCCGGTGTACGATCATACGATTACAATGAGTGTTATGTTAAATAATGTATTTTAATGGTAAATTATCATTGAAAAATGTACAGATGTTTTCATATTATGCGTGCGTACATACAACGTTCTTTGATCACGTAGTATTCATTCCATCTATATGTACATTTTTTAAAGATATTTATTGTCGATAGTGTCAGTTTTTTTTGTTAATATTTCTAGATTTTCATTTTGTAGCACAGAATTTTTTGCTACATATTTTGCATATATAGTACATGCTCCTATAATATTTTCGGCAAGAAAACAATGTATCATATCTTTGTAAATAATTTATTAATATACTCATGTATAGTTGTATCAATACAATAAATGTAAAAGAAACTTACGCAT